CCTCCAACCTCCCTTCGGATATTTACAAACTTTAATCAGATCTCCTCTCAGTCTTCTTTTCCCCAGGATGAACAGACCCAGGTCACTCAGCCTCTCCTCATAAGATAGATGCTCCAGGCCCTTTATCGTCTTTGTGGCCCTCCACTGGACTCCTTGAGGAGATCCTTGTCTTTTTTAAACTGGGGAGCCCAGAACTGGGCACAGTACTCCAGATGTGGCCTCACCAGGGCAGTGTAGAAGGGGAGGATCCACTCCCTTTGCCCGCTGGCTGCATTCTTTTTAATGCACCCCAGGATACCACTGGCCTTCTTGGCCACAGAGGCACACTGCTGGCTCATGGCCAACCTGCTGTTGAATAGAACACTCAGGTCCTACTCTGCAGAGCTCCTCTCCAGCAGGCCATTCTCTAATCTGTGCTGATGCATGTGGTAATTCCTCTCCAGGTGCTAGACTTTACACTTACTCTTGTTAAACCTCATCAGGTTCCTCCCTGCCCATCTCTCTAGCCTGTCCAGGTCTTGTGGAATGGCAGCACAATCTTCTGGTGTCTATCTATCTACAGAAATTGTGTTAATCAAGGGCTAATTATCTTCACTCAGCAACTGGTCACTGGGGACTGCGCAGTGGGGAAGGAATAAAAAGGTGTGCTCAGGGAACACCACATGAGCAATGTACGCAGAGATCTTTGCTTCCTCCCATAGCTTCCACTCTCTTTGCTGTGCCAAAGGACAACTGTGCTGCAAAGCAGGTGCTGTCTGGCACAGCTGGCAGTCCTGCATCTTCTCTGGTGCTTTGGAGAACTTTATGCAGCTCCAGATGAGTCCTGATTGCAATAACTGACTGCAAAAAAAAAACAAAAACAAACAAACAAACCAAAAAAACCCAACCCACACGATGTACATTCTCTTCCATCACCTCATTCTCAAAGGGTCCATTAAGATCAGACAGCTGCTATCCTACCACTGCACAGAGCTTTTCACTAGTGAACACAGGTATCGTGGGGCAGATGGAGCTGGGGATGGACCAGAAGTGTCACCTGCAGCCTTGTAGCCAAACTGGCAGCAAACCTCAGGCTGCCGTGCATGTATATCCTGCACTGCTCCAGAACAGCACAGCCTGCCCGGCCTGTCCTCTGCAACACAGAATGGAGAACGCCAGGGAAGCTCCTGGTTCCTCTCCCTGTTCTCAGTAGTTTTCTCACAACCACTGCTGTGACAGTGCAATTTTGTCACTTTGGGCTAACGTCCTATAGATGGCACTGTTATCATTTCCAAGAGGAACTGCTGCTGGACATGCTGCTGAACAGCGCTGAAGATGGGTCAGGACCATCATTATTACTGTGCTTAACAAGCCAGAGAGGATCAGGAGAGATCCAAGTCAGAGAGGCTGTTGGTGATACCTGCTTTGAGAAGTCTGCATGATATCACCTCCATATCCATCAGTATCTGTCATAGCACAAACTAAATGTACTCCACGATAAGTTTGAGGTAATCTCCAATGTCAACAGGAGTCTTGTGTGCATTTCTGAGGGCCTGAACTAAATAACCAACAGTTAAAAACAGTTGTCCACAGGCACTACAGTTATTACTTTCCACAGCTGAACAAATGACTATGATGTCAGAACTTCTGCTCTGATTTTGTTTTGTTCCACTGGGAACCATCATTGGTTTTGATTGCCCAGGCTTTTCCCCAGGATAGCAAACTGGCTTAGCTGATGTTTAATCAGTCTGTACATGCAGTACTGCTGCATGGTGTACACTCTTCACTACATATCATCATTCTCTTTCTCCCACAGTTAAACATGTCTGTAAGACACCTGGGGAGGGCAAGATGCAGTGGGACCAGTAAGGTCAGATGTAGTGAATGGAGGGAGGCACATGCCCACTACAAGTAGGACATGCTGTTGGCCTTGTTGACCACCTGGGCACAATGCTGGCTCGTTTTCAGCTGGTGTCATTAAGGTACATACCAGAATGGTAAAATACACACCCTGGGCTTTACACAGACAGAACAACGCAAGTGTGACTGTGTGCGTGTGGCTATGCTGATATGTATAGCAATAAGGAAGTCAGAATGTGGTCTTACACGCTATTTTGGTTCTCTGGCCATCTGTGAAGTGATCCATTAAGGCACAAACAGTTACACCTGTAGCCCATTCTATCTGTTCTATCTGTACAGGTGCTAGACTTTACATTTACTCTTGTTAGAGTACACTTACTCTTGTTACAGAAGGGACTCTGTGTCCCTTCTCTCTTCCTTGTTGTGCATTGTCAGACCAGCAAATGGTCTGTGTTGACAACACAATGTTTCAGGGCTCCCTTGGGTTAGGATCCCCACAAATTTTGCTCTACTTTTCTTCTTCCTTTAATTCTGCAGAGGGGATTCCTCCCACTTCAGCAGCTCCTTACAGTCTGGGAATGGTCTGCCAGTTGCCCAGGCTCTGCAGTCACTGACTGCTTTTTGTGTCAGGAAATACATCCTCCTCTGAAAGGCAGAGTGGCCACCTAGCCCAGCCTGCTTCTCCTGTAGGAGACAGAGTACCAGGATGCTATTGGCCTTCTTGGCAACTTCTCTAGAATAAGACCCCTCCCATTCCTAAGTGTGTATAATTCTCTCAGCAAACTGCAGTCCTGCTCAGACCTCAAACATTCTGCATGCATGCTTCTCAGAAACAAACACGTATGACTTTTATTATTTTTACAATAAGAAAAGTATGAAAAAAGTTTCTTTTTCCATGCTACCCTAACAATTTTGCTCAAGCTTTCAGACAATAGTGCTGTCTCAGAAATGTCTACAGATCATATTTTCAAATGCCACTCAAAAACTTGGAAGCCTGAGTCTATGTTGCAAGGCAATAAATTGCACAATTATGCAACTGTATGAGCAGTCCCAGATTGTCCCAATACATGTAGGTTCTCAAGCATGAAATACAAGGGCAGTAGGCTTTTGGCATCGCTACAGTTATCAATGGATACAGACAAGTCTATCAATATTAAATGCAGATCTTCGGTTCTGCAGATAGCCTTTGGGAAGTGCCCACATGCCTCTAATTCACTAAAAAGGCAACCAGGGTCCTGACCTGGGCACCACACGTGAGTGCCTGAAGGATAACAACTATTGGTCTCAGGCTGACTGTGCAGCTCATCACCATGAGAGGCTAGAGTGCCTTTGCCTGAGAAAAGTAGGCATAGCCACTCAGAATTTGGAGAGGACTCTATTAAATTAAGTCCCCTACCGCATTCAGTTTAGGAGGCATTCTCAGGACAGATCGAACACACATCAACAGGATGAGAGTCATCTCAAAACTCTGCTGCAGCAGCTGTTCTCATTTAAAACATATCCAGAGGACACCAAGGAGATATGCCCAAACTTTCAGAATTCTTTCAGCAAATTGTGAATGATGCATGAGATGAAAAATCTCTCCCCAGTGGACGACACATAGACAAAACTGTGCAGACACTGATGCGCCTCTTTTTTTTTGTTTGTTTGGTTTTTGTTTCCTTCTGCTTTAATCAAGGACACTCCACAGTCAGTTGAAAAAAAAAAAAAAAGGCACTACAAATGCCCATCAGGCCCAGAAATGTCAAGACAAAAGAAAAATAGAGGGGAAAAAATCCCCTAGGAAGTTATTTAAAGCAGTACTTAAAAAAAATCAGTTCAGACAAGCTTCCCCCAGCAAGACTGGCTTGTACATAGGGAACAGTATGAACCATGGTATTTGTTCAAAGGTAACCTTTTGCACTGATATACCAAAAATAACTGAATGAAATATTTCAGAATCTGCAAAGACTGGAGATGAGTTCTGTTTTTTGTTTTTCTTCCCCATATGTAACACTGCAAACTTACTTGTCCCTTCTAAAAGTAGACAAATAGGCAATCAAGGATATTACTGAAACCTTGGGTCCTATTGCTGATGATCATCTGCCTATGTTACAAAGTAGTTGTGACAGTAGTTTTACTTCAGGGATACCAAACAGACAGGCATCAGGTGAGCCAGGTTAGGATTCAGAGCCCAGCTAGATTGAATGAAGCAATACCTATAAGCCATAGAATCAGAATGGCTTGGGTTGGCAGGAATCCCAAAGATCATCTAGTTTCAATCCCCTTGTGTTGGGCTGGTTGCCAACCACTAGATCGGAGTGCCCAGGGCCCCATCCAACCTGGCCTGGAACAGCTCCAGGGATGGGGCATTCACAGCTTCTCCGAGTAGCCTGTGCCAGTGCCTCACCACCCCCAGAGTGAAAATTTCCTCCTAACATCTAACCTAAACCGCTCCTCTTTGGTTGATAATTCATTCCACTTTGTCCTGTCACTACCTACCTGTGTAAAAACTCGGTCTCCCTTCTGCTTGTAAGCTCCTTTCAAGTACTGGAAGATCGCAATGATGTCTCCCAGAACCTTCTCTTCCCCAAGCTAAACAATCCCAACTCCCTCACCCTTTCACTCATTTTGTCTTGGATACAGTGAATAAATAAGCTTTTCTAGGTGCTGACAACAATGTTCTCTATACCTGCTAAATGTATTCTCATAAATACTGAGTTAATGTTATTTCCACTCTTCAGGAACTGCTCCTTTGTAACAGTGACCATTCTTCCTGACTTGTGGTGAAGGGGAACAGCAGATATATGTTGTGAGAAATAACATCTTTTCCTTCATCTATCACCTTTGGTTGTCTAAATGCACGGACTGTTTTTCATTCGTTTGCAAGTGTCTCAGCTACACCTTCCATTCCATCTGCAAATCAAAGACCAGGACTTTCTCTACTTGCTTCATCCATAAGAAATGTGACAAAGGATTTTTTTACATTTCTTCCTCTTCCAAGTTTCTGAACTTTGATTCTCAAATACATGGTATCCAATTACGCTTCCCTTTTCACACTAACAGTTGCAAATGAACTACATTGCTATACTCCCAAGAACAGAACTTCAATTACTGTGAAATAAATTTGTGCAAGTGAATGGTGTAAAAAGGCAACAGTAAAAAGTGTTCATTGCACTTACCTGCCTGCAGAAGTGCTGTGTTGTTATGGCAAAGACATCAAAGCCACACCTGGTCCTTTTAAGCTCATCTCGGATATTGCTTAATTGCCGGGACTGCTCATCACACTTTTCCTTCAGCTTCTGGATGAACTGCTTTTCAGCATCTCGACTCTCTCCTGGTTTGGGGGAACATACATTTCTTGCGGTGGTTGACCTTTGCTTGGGATGTCCTACAGAAGAGAGGAGATCATTGAGGTCAGTTGCTTTAAGCACAAAGATGTGATGCGTATCTGATGAGAACCAGCCCTATAACATAAAAAGCTCTGGTAGTGCTCATACAAGTGTGTGATGACTTTCAAAAAAAAAAATAAATAAATCTGAAGTTCATATTTTGCTTGAGATGACTATCCATTTCTCTGCAGGTTAATACATAGTTCTGAGGATGAAGCAAAAGTGGCAGTGCCCTAGTGGGATCAGATTGCCCAAGTCACTGCTTGGCCAAAGTGTTTCATCTTTATCTTCTGAGCTGAGAAGTCTCCTCTGAAAACTTCTATGGTCAGCTGAGCAACACCTCTGCCCAGCACATTGAGCTTTCTTGCTGCTCTCAGCTTCTCATCGGCTGATGCTTTTTATCTCTTTCTTAGAGAAAGCAGTCAGACACCTTGTTTCTGCAGCTTCTGTATGTTACTGCAGATGGTGAGCACTGGCCTGAAAACAGGCAAAAGCTGAACAATTCTTTGTTACAGGAAAGGTCAGGTATTCAAGGATCTGAAGAAAGGTGTCTTATAGTTTTATGTATACAATTCCTGAAAAATAACACAGAAGCAGTATTTCCAACCAGCCCTCAGCAATGAACGTAGCAGGGGACAGTCTTTTGTCCCACAGAAACCACAGATTCTACTCATCCTTTTCCTAAAAAACAGAAAAATTATTTCCCCAAGTGAAGTCCCAGGAGTGCACTCCTACCTTTCACACCTATCCACAGCTCACATGCAGCCACTGGAAGCCTATCTCCCAACCTGCTCTACTACATCCTTGCTCAAGGCTAAGCTACACGGAGCCAGCACCAGCAAAGATGCTCCTTGAGCCTCAGTACCTTGCGCTGCTGCAGCAAAGAGCCATAGACCCATAGCTATAGAACAGACTTTAAAACTTTCTGTTCCCATGACTTACATTTGCAAAGAAGAGGAATACTAAGTTTCACATGTCATGACTAACTTCATCATGTTAAAAGATCCAAACAATACAACAGGAGATGTCAGAGAGGGCTTTCTGGCATTATGAACCAGCATAGTGGTTACCCTTTTTTTTCCCCCAAGAATGATGTTTTCTTACAGATTCTTTCTTTCACTTAAAGGGACTCTGAACTGGACAATAGGCATTTTCAGAAAACTAGCAATTCATAAAAGTAACAGCCACGAATATCTGTCTTTTTTAGTATAAAACTGTCTAGTGGTTTAGGAAGTGTGATAATGATACAACAGAAGCCATACAAAGAAGTGTAGGAAGAAGCCCCAGAAATCAGTTCAGATTTAATTACAACAGCAACACAACAATGGGATAAAGCCCATTGTCTTATCTTCTATCTCTCTAGCAATCCTGCTCAGTGGAATATTTGAAGTACACATCTCTATGTTGTCCTTGTCAGTATTATAAGCTGTCTTTGTAAACTAAATTGGTATTTTCCATAGGGAAAAATTCTGAATTTCTCAGTTCATTTAAAAGCAGCTTTCTAAGCTTCTTCTGCCACTGACGTTGCTCTTCTGCTGCTCTGCACAAAACAGGGTATATGTTAATGACACTGGCCCTGATCCTGGATGTCCTTTGTGCTAATGGGGGGGGGGCTATCGATCACTAAAGCCATGGAACCCCTTCGATCTGCCTCAAAACTCTCAGGTCTCCTTTATTTACCTGAGCTGCCATAGCAAGTATGTGGCCACAGTTAACACAGTCCATGAGAATTAGCATGGGGCATGCCATCTGTTTGCCTCTTCATTGTTCAACTTTTAACATTTCGGAAAGAGAATTGAGGCCACTGCTTTGAGAGCACTGATAACAAGCAATGTGAAGAGTGACACTTGTCAGAAATAGATGGCACAGTCTTGAAGGCACACTCCTACCTGCACACAAACTTCAGGAATAGTACTGTATAACAGATAAAATGGGGATTCCTACAAGACTGTGTTTCAAAACACTTTTGCTAGTCTTTAGGGGAACTGACCCAAATTCTAAAGACTGGATCCAAAGCTAAAAAAACATTCATATTCAATCCTTATGTCAGAGGGTTTGCACGATGGCCAAAAACAGCATTGAAGATCAGGAAGTGCACATGAGAGGACCAATAAGAGAAGGAAAACAATTTAGAAATGGCACTTGGAGATATTAGAACCTGTTTCATGTCCACATGAAGCCGTGCTGGGCTTACCTGCAGAAGCCACATCACAAAGAGTGAATGCTGCATGGCATTATGTTAGTGACCCTCATGGGGGAGGGGCTGTGTACTGCCTCTCAGCCACTGCTGCACTCACTCCTTCTTCTTTTTAATGGCTGCTTTGGCTGAATTGAGAAATTATTGAGTAGGTAAAAAGATTCTCTTTCTTTATTTCTTTGTTATTGCTGTCATTTCAAAGAATGCTCATGGCTACTCTAAAGACAATAAATGAAGATGAGTTTTATTTCTTCTTTGATCCATACAATGAAAACCAATTTTGTCATAATTTGAGATAACCACACATAGGAAATCATAAATGAATCCGATGGAGAGAGAACAGGTACTCAACCTCCTGAGCGAATGAAGGTTTCATCTGAAGTTTTGAGTCATCATAAATTGGATATATCCGATCTTAAACCTTGAAAATCATTACGTGCAATGATCACCAACAGCAATGTCAGCTCCCTTCAAATCCAGCAAATATACCACTTTGCTTTCTATTTCTGGTAGGAGCAAACCAGCTCTGTTGTACCATGCTGCTACAACCACCTTCAGTGATGGTTCTTAAACTGAACTCCCACTGTTCTAAACATTGGTAAGCTGCTGGCCTGCTACTCTCTGCAGCAAATTTCTCTTTCAATTTTTCTTGGTGACCTCACCAGCTTCAAAACAGCCTGAAAATTACACATTTCAGAGGACAGTGTTAAGTTCATCTTTTTACCCTAACTTCTGAAGAAGGACTCTGACTTCTGTTGGTGCCTGCGAGGATTAAATTTAACCTTCTCAATTTTGTTGCTTGGGAAGGAGAACTGGTGCTGAATTTAGTAAAAATGAAGAGATTCTCAATGCAAGTTATGGGAGCTACAGAATTCCTTTATATGTTTTATAATATACTGTCGAATGAGGAAATAAGGAGTTCCACCCTCCATATCTATTAATTATCATATTGCTGCGTAGATGATAGATTATTTAAGCACAGTGTGAAAACTGAGGTAACAGATCAGAAGATGGCAAACACAACAAAATAAGAAGGGCCAGGCCCATTCGTTTCCTAAATATGTTGGGTTAGTCAAAAGGCCAGCCTTACAAAATCCTTTAGGTCTCCTACACATTTCTTAATGCACTCTAGTAGACAAAAATACAAATAAGTTCTCTGCATTTTAGTACATAAACAATGGCATTCTTTAGAAATACTATTACCACATGTTTGTATCCAATATTCAGGGGTAAATTAACAGCATCCCAATAGCAGTTTGAAGACTTTCTATAGATGAACTCTTTTCCAACTTTGCATAGAAATAATACAGGAAATTTAGTGGTTCTGCACAACAATGTCAGTAGATTCCAAATAACATAATATCTCTCCAGGTAATTGTTCGAGGTGTCCTTTATTTCACTGAATCTGTTCCTTTTGTACAAGAAAAATATAATGATAAAAGAACGTTCCAAAGCCCTTCAACATGTAATAACAACAACTCTTTGTTTTGAAAAGAGATGATTGCAGTGCAGTAACAAAGAATACATAAAGCTATTCAGCTCGTGTATCGGTATAAAAAAGCCTGCTGTACTCAGCACCAGCTTAATGAGCCTTGGACACAATCAATCTTCACTAACAATAGTAGGTCTCAGATTTCAGTGTATTAACTAGAGATGCAAAGCTGACAAGTTGAAATCTTCCCTGAAACAGTTTTTGAGTTCATAAATACCTGGTGAGTGGAGCTTGGTGGCTGTCACTGCTGATCTCTTGGGGGAGGAGATAGCTGGTCTGTTAGCATCCTGATCCTTTTGTATTTCTTTCTTCAAGCCTGTTTCAAAAAAAGTAGAAGCAGAAAGAAACCCATTTAATAATTCTGCTTGCAATTGCACAGAGCTATGTCATAGAATCATGTTGGGAAAGACCTTCGAGATCATCTAGTCCATTAGCCCATCAACACCAAGCCTGCTAACCATGACCCTCCATGATTCCATGACCCTCTCCAGATTTCTTGACCCTCTCCAGACTTCTTGAACATCTTCAGGGATGAGAACACCATCGCCTTCCTGCACACCCTGTTCTAATGCATCACCACTCCTGAGAAGACATTTTTCCTAATATCCAACTGGAACCTCCCCTGGTGCAACTTGAGGCCATGCCCTCTTGTCCTATGGCTGTTACCTGGGAGAAAAGGCCAATTCTCACCTTGTTTATCTTGTTCAGGCAGTTATAGAGAGTGATGAGGTCTCCCCTGGCCTCTTCTTCTTCACACTAAACAATTCCAGTTCCCTCAGCTGCTCCTCATAAGACTTGTGCTCCAGACCCTGACTCCATCTTCCATTTTGGTCTACAGAAATGTACTCTGGCTATTTCTACAGTGGATAAAAGTGATAATTACATAGGGCAATCATACACTTCAGGGACACTTAGTGGATGCCTCCCCCCTCTCCAAAGCCACAACTGGTAATAACAGCAGCACCAGGTTTCCCTCGGACAGAGGGTCACCCTGCCACTTCTGCCTGCGTCAGGCCCTGTGAGCACAGCTGCAGATACAGCATTTGTCACGCACTGCAAACCATGGCTCCTATCTCCTAGCAGTGTCTCAGCACTTGCTTGGGAAATGCAGCTGAAGAGCATAGGGATATGCACACAGGCCTCACATTCAGCTGTGACTGCAGGAGGATGGCACCCGAAGCTTAACAGCCTCTCCCCCTGTTCCTAGGGAAACTGCCACATCGTTCATGCCAGCTGATGAAGAACTCTTCTTCATATCTTTGCTTTGGTCCATCTCCACTTTCCCTGCTGTTTGTAAACTGGAGACATTGAGGCTGTGATTCTCATTTGTGATGGACGCTTTCCACAGTGAAGTGACAGAGGGTATAAGCTACCTGTGCCTACCACCTGCTACACTACACTTAACTACAGAGCAGGACATGAAACAAATTTATGGCACCATTCCATTACTAAGGACTCAGTAAAAGCAACCTGGCATGGGAAGTGTGAGCCAAAAGCATGGTTTGTTTTGTGAGACATAGTTTACAAGGTTATAGATTTGAGCACTACCTTTTCCAGGCGATAAGAACTTGGTTTTGTTGTGGTTTTCAGTATAGAAATACAGTGTGCAAATGGGCCATACCTCAAGCTCATCCATCATTTTTTCTTTGGCAAATGCCAAGCACAAGCACAGAAGGTGATGTGCATTTTCCTCACACTTTCAGCAGTAATAAAGGGCACAGACATAACTGCTTTTGAGAAGTTTTGAATGGGGAACACCTAAGGAATCACTTCAGGCTCTTAACCTTAATCACAAAGCAAGGAACAGCAATTCCCCAATTACAGCACAGTTGAAAGAAAGCAGAGGAAAGCAGCAGAGGAGCCCTGAGGGTTCCATCGTTCTGTACAGGGCACCATGAGGTCTGTGCATCAGAGCCAGTGCCCATCAGGGACCCTTGCATGGGAGGGATCAACAGAATGAGCTTGAAGCAGGTTGCAAACAAAGATACAAAGGATTATCTTGGCAAGAACAGGAAAGAAGGATTGATGACAAAGTGGGGAAGTGAGGATAACTACCCTCCATGAGTTCACAACATTTTTTGGGTTCTCCCTCCTGAGCAAAAGAATCCTGACAGAAGCTCCTTCACAAGGAGAGATTTAAGAACTGTAGAATGCAAAAAAAAAAGGACAGTTCCAACATTATAGTTCTATGACTGCTTCTACCCTGCTGAGCACAACACCCACAGGGAGCCTTTAGGGAAAGGGCCATCCTTGGCATCAGAACTTGCATGAGAACTTGTACAGAAAGTCCTTCTAAAAATGGGGTTTTCCTTTGAAACAACAGCTGCTAGCTTGTTAAAAAAGAAACATTCAGAAACCAAGTTGATTTCAAGAGAAATTCCTGCACAGAAAATTAATTTCTAAATAACATAGTTTGTCCTTTTCTCACTTCCCAGAGACAGAGAATTTCAAGTTTAAAACAGTTTTAGTAAGTAGTATAGTAAAATAGTCCAAAGATTTAAAATAGGAGAGCGCTGACGTAATGATCAGCACAGTGCTGTACTGTAGGGCACAACACAGCAGGAGGTTGTGCAGGCTGAGCTCTTTACCTGAGTGTCTGAGAAGTAACTCAAAGATTTTCATTTACATAGGAAGTTTGATACTCCACTGTGACCAGGAAACAACTCTCAGTTCAGTCATTACAATGGTTCTGAATGCATAGAAAAAAATATAAGACTCTGGCCATCATACCTAGTCTGAAAAGTCAAAAGTGCATACAATCAAAATAATAGAAAATACATCAAACACGACTATAAGAGGAAACAAAGCACCACAAGCGTATGTTTCTTTAACACGTGCACTGTTCAGATTTTGTTCGAATTTGTTTGACATTCTGACCTGCAATAAACTCTACTTAAACTCTCACTATTACTGCCCATAGCTTGGAAATGGGGAGCTGCAGTTAGTTCTATGCTAAATGCCCATCTACTTTTCCTGGTTTCCTCTCTTTTAAAAGCTATTCTTTCATACAGAAATAGATATTTCAGGCCAGAAGGTAACTACATACATGAATACTTGCTAGTGTTTCCCACCAGAGTGATTATATCATTTACTTTTGCAAGTTGCATCCAAACACACAGTTCTGGAAACGTATTTACATTTCCTAATTAACACAGCCTGCTTCAAACCAAAGAGGAGGAGCAACGACAACATTTATTAGAAACTAAAGTTAAATCACCCAGAAATTAGTTGGAAATAGCAGACACAGAAAGCTGCTCATCTACCCCTGGCCAGTGCTCAGAGTGAAGCACTCACCATTTAAGCTATCTTCTCAGGACCTGCTGCAGAACCAGCCTAGATATTTGTGTGCACCTTTCTGAATCTTCAAAAGTTGGTACAATGGGACAATTTGTTCTCACACTTCAGATTGACTCTAATAAATTACACATCGAGTATTTACTCCAAACCAGATCCCAGCAAACTCTAGATGTCACGAACAACTCAGAGGGCTGGCTGTGTTCAGCTGGCTACCAGCTGTTGTCAGGCATATTTTATAAGTTAACAAAAGCACTTTGCACATTTAAGAACCCCAAGGAAGTGCTTTCAGGCACTCACAGACACAGATAGCCACCTCGAGCTTTCTCCTGCCTTTCCCCTGACACCTACAACTAGTCATGTCCTTGACAAGCAATGACACTCTCGTGCACACGCTGTTTGAGACAAAGTGAGCAAATCTGGAAATACGATGGATTCTGTAGAATAAGAGCAGTCTAATTCTCTCCAGGGACTCTGCACATCCTGTGATCTATGAGATTGAAAGGCTTTGAATAAGTAAGTAGGTGTAGAAGAAAGACTACATATTTGGTGAAGCAGAAAAAGCTGGCACTTGTAGTTTTCCCAATCCAATGAGAAAAAAGAAAAGGACAGGGACTGTTACAGCGATTTGTCTCAAAGTGATTGTTTTCTTCCTGCATTAAAAAAAATGTATCTGATGTTAAAAAGTACAGGAAAAACTAAAACAAAAACAACCCCTAAGGATCTGAACTATTCTTTGCCCTGAATAGAAAAATCCAAGCTAGCTCAGGCTAAGAACACCTCATCTTAGCTGCAGAGGTAAAACAGCCTCCCTTTCTCTTACTGCCATTTTACATGGATCCAATGGCATTTTACTGCCACTTCCTCACAGAGCTGTGCTACAGCCAAGTTTCAGAGTGCAGTTCCAGGGGAAGGGGCTGGAAAACCTGCAGCTGAGTGTCTCACTTTCACCTGCGGCGTAGCACTCCATATCCCCACATTCCTCACAGGAACAAACACAACCCAGCACATAGGTACCGTTCAGTTTTTAATGGGAAGTGGCTGCAAGGGAGAACACAGCAGCAGCAGGTTCTGCCTCTCCATCCCCGACAGGAACACTGGTGCTCATTTCTCCCCCTCACGCTGACCTTAGCTCATCCTCTACCCTCCTGGGGCTGTGTTGTCTGGGTTTTGCAGAAGCTGATTAAAAGAAGCACATTTTACAGTGTGAGCTCGCTGGCGAGAGCTGTAATAACACTGGCCTCCTATTTTTCATCTTGACTGATTGCATTTAACAGCCTGCTCTGATACATATGATTTACTGGTACTTGTAAAAGCTCACGAATTGGCTGGGTTAGTTTTCTGAACAATACTTTTGATTGTCTTTAATTTAATGGGCCAAGCAGAAACAAGTTGCCCAAATGAATTCTTTATTGCTGCTGTCATTGCACATGAATTATGAGGTTTCTTATGGGGAATAATAGCCACTTGTCTGTGAGATAAACATTAAATAAGAATTAATAGGCTGAAATAAGTATTCCATAACACACACATGAAACTGCATAACAAGACACAGAGAAACATAACATCCTTCAGCTCTGTAATTCTACGGACTGATGTCTGCCAAGTCCATCCAGTGGGCAGAGCTGAGGAACAAGAGGCAAGCTGATCTGGTGCCTCAGATCAGAACTGCAGGCACAAACACGGAAGCCCAGGCCGTATTAGTCTGCTGAAAGTAAGCTGAAGTATCAAAAATAGCATTCAGAAATACCAAACTGGTTCCCCAAGAGGGCCCTCTGGCAGAGCTGCTTTCCAGCCAGCTAGCTCTGTGCTGTTGTATGGCATTACTCCTCCCAGGGAAAGCTTTGCATCTGCCTTTGTTGGACATCATGAAGTTCCTGCTGTCACATTTCTCCTGCCTGTTGATGTCCCTCCGAACTGCAGCCCTAACCTCTAACACAGCAAATAACTTGCTGTGAGCATGCTCCATCCCTTTGTTCAGGTTTCCGATGAAGAAGGGAAGCAGCATTTGCTCAGTATCAATCCCTAACGGATGCCGGAATATCTACCTGTAGCAGGACTTTGCTTGGTCTAGCCACTTTTCCAGCCACCTTACTATTTATCTGAACATCTGCAGCTAGCTGAGATACCTAAGCACTTTCCCAAGAGAACCAGGGTATGAAAGAAAACCACAGAAAGAGGTTTCAGGCCAAATGCATGTTTTCAATGTTGTTTTTTTTTTGTCCAAATTATGACAGAATTAGATCCTGGTTTCATTTACAATCTGGACTGTCCCACAGTGAGGATTAAGCAACAGGGTTTCTAAAACACCTCCCCAAAAGGGTGAGAAGCTGTTAATCTGCTTCTGAGAATTTCCTTCTGCAATATTCCTACATTTTTCGACATTTAAAACAGAAAATTCAGCATGTGTGTGCATCAAAGATCACGTATTTTTATCAACGTGCGGAAGGAAGAAGCTTATATCTTTTCCAAAGTGGATCTTAGTGCAAAGTTCCAGATGGAGAGCTGCTTTCACCTAAGTCTTGCAACAAAATACAAAGCAATAATAGAAATGGTTATCACCGCATTTCTCAAAACAGCTTAAAATTGTAAGTGAAATTACAGGACATATATCAGTTTTCCCTTTCAAGTATTTTTTGTTGTTTTATTTTCTCTACGATGACAAGTGTGCAAATATGAAAGGGGTTTCATAACACCCAAAAAGGGCTGTGCAGCACACTGAAAGCTGATGAAGTGCACCTTTTCCCAAGTCAAGTCTAAAAAACATTCAGTTCATGTCTTTGAAACAATCAGCATGACAATGGATTTCCACTGCTACTGTCTCATGCCAGAACTTTTTCATCATCTGAATCACTGCAAAGCAGCAGTTACGAAACTCTTTTTACATTAATTAAAGGTGATCTATGCCCTCTAGTCCAATTTATTTGACAAGCAATTTTACTGCAATATCAGGAGTGTAATCTTTCTCCAGCAGTTGCCTTTTTTTCTTTTAAATGAGAATTGGCAGTGCAGGTGGTCTTTTCAGGTATTATCTAACACATGAAAGCTTCTTTTTTCCTCATTAATGGAGATAGATATGCTTCTTTTTGAAATCATTTCCTATTCATAAACAGTTAAAATAAGGTAATTCTTTGTATTTGAAACACAAACACATTTCTTACATCACTTGATTTTCCATTCTTTTAGAAACTTTCCTTATATTTAAGAGTCTGACTCACTCTCAGTGAAATACTTTCTATGCTCTTTACTTTTGTAGAAGATCCTGAATACAATACATACAGTGTCTGTGCACCTCATCTCACACTAATAACCCTACTTACATAGCTGCCATATCATGCACAGGAGGTTGGGATGCAGCTTGTGTTTATAAATGCGTATGCAACATCAAGCTGTAATGCAATTATTTCTAGGAGTAATAATTACTAGGATTGCTAGTATTACACAAAGAATACCTATTGTGCCATTGTCCAAATACACAGGAAGTGTAGAAGGTATGATTGTGGTTTCTCTGCTTTTCAAAAGCTTTACCAGGTGGCTGACTTCAGCAGCACTGCTCACGAGGTCAAAAGGAACAGAAAACTGGAGTGGTTCTGCTCCTTCTAGCCAACTCCACAGTGGCCTGGGCTGTGGAGAAACTGTGCTGAGATGGAAGGCAGACATGTGCCCCACCAACCATTCTTCGTAGAAGCTGTTCTCGTGATCCAGTTGCAAATACAAGTTCAGCAACAAGAGGCTCACAAGGCTGTGGAGGTCCTTTTTGAGAAGTAGCTAACAGGTGATCTACTTCCTCTTTTATCCTCTAAGCTACTGTCATCATAGAGCTTGATATATTACACATTTGTTAAAGATGTTGATAACTAGGAAAACATAAGACTAAAGCCAAGCCCAGCTTAGATTTTTTTGAGATGCATAGCAAAATCAAAGGGAAAGACAAACAAAAAAAAAACAAAAAAAAAAGGTGTCGCCTTTTATCTGGTCACAAAAAAATCATATATTGTATTGATGGTTTCAGCTTCATCTTCTCTATCAGATCCTTCAAGCCACTGATTGTAGCAGAAAGCCCTTCTCTGTGAGTGTTTCAACCAAGCAATTTTTTCTTAAAATGGAGTGACCGGAATTTTCAGTGCTTAAGGTCTTTATCTGTATTTTGTACTAACTTCTCCTTCCCAGTTTCACTTGCAGTGTGTGTTACTGGGGGATGTACATAGAGATGAAATGCTGCCTAAGGAGGGCCATATTGGATAAGGCTGGTGACTTATGTAAAATTATTTACTTTGGAATCTAAATTGGTAATCTGATCTGAACTCGACAGAACTTCCACACTTGTACTGAATTTCTCTTTTATTTAAAACCTTCCAACTCTGCCTAGCTATACACAATCCCACACCCTACACCATGGAGTGGTCTATCCTAAGTATCACTCTAAAGGAAAGTCATGAATAAGAATAGTCTGATTTGTCTTTCTGCACAGTATTTCCTCTAAATGGGCATCTATGAAGCAACAACATTTTAGGGACAAACATTTAAAAATTAGAAAGGAAACCTGAAGGATAATCTTAGGAGAGAAGAGACTACAAAGTGGATGATAATAATAAGGCCTTTTTCACTGGACATGCAGTGGAAAATCAAGGAAAGACTAATGATACTGGAACTATAGATTATTTCTAGGAGCAAATACGTAGAGTCATGAAAACTGAGGAGGTAAAGAAAGATACAGGCATAGTTAGGCTTTCCCAGCTCCAAGAGTCCAACTCACAAGAAGCAGTACTAAAGCAAAGCTCTCTGAAAAACATGCTGGTTTTGGAGAAACTTTGTGTCAGATTGTCTTTGTGATAGAGCAAATCCAGGTAATGTTTAGGTGAAATAACCTCCTACTTCACTACCCTCATAGAAACACAGTGGTATTGGTTTTATTCACTAAAATGTTATGTTATCTCCATGTACCTCAATCTCTCAGTGACATATATACATCCTGGTTGCCAGAATGGTGCTGTGGTTTCGATTTTTGATGAAAATAGTGTTGAGAACACACCAACGTCTTAGATGTTGCTAAGCAGTGCTTGCACTCAGTCAACAACATTTCTGCTTCTCGCACTGCCCTAACTTTAAGGAGGTTGGAATGCACAGAAAGCTGAGAGGACAACTGACCCAAATGGACCACAGGAGCATTCCTGAATACATTTCAAAAAGACCCCATGCAAACAGAGACTGAATCAGCACTGTGACAATACGCCCATGAATGGCGAGTAAGCAGCAAAATGGCATCATAACAAAATTTCTACATTTCCTGGCCTAACAAAGATGACATTTCAAGTACTCATGTTTGGAACACCTACCAGCAGGTGCAGTGGCAGTTTTTGGTGCTGGAAGTAAGCTCCTGCGAGGAGTCGCTGTGCCGCTCGATACCTGTGTTGCGCTCTTGCTGCTACTCTTGGGTATGTCTTTAGAAGGTGCAGATGCCTTAGGAGTGGTTTGTTCTTCATTTCCAAGGCTGGAACCTGCAGGAGACCAAAACTGCCCTAATTATAAGTTCATAAAAAATGTATGTGAACTTTGGCACACAAACTGAGCTTGTATTAGCAATTATAACACAATAACAAAAACATATTGCCATTTCAAGTTGGGCAAAATTTCATGGATTTTCTCCAGTACAAATGGTTACATAGAAACAGTTCCCAGCAACTTCCTTAAATGCTAGGTGCTGGTGGCTGTTGGATTCTAACTCTAAGAAGGACATAAAATTTGTTTTTTGCTAGCTTCTTAAAGGTATCTGGCTGTGAGGCTCCTAAGAAAATCAAGAGGTTTCTAAATCTATGCATGTAGCAATTTTTTGAGGCACTGTAGTTGCCGCAGAAGCCACCCAATACCCTCATATTGAGACTTGGGTGTTACTGGCTCTCAGTGAAAAGGACAAGAGCAGGTCTCAGTGCTGCAAGGCACTGAACTCTCCCCACCAGGAGAGATTTCCTACAAGTATTTCCCCAGATCACACTCAGACATTTGAGTAATAAGCTGAAAAAATAATTCTGCCTTAACTCTCACAGCCACTTCAATCGCATTCTCATACCGAATCTTGGGTTGCCAAGGTTTCCAGTTTATATTGAGCTCTTTCAAAACCTATAATGGGTTTGCTTTCCTCCTGTATTTCCCACCTAGGGAATAATCACATCCTACGCTCCCTGTAGATGTAAGGAAATCAATCTTTTCTTAACATTTGAAGAAGTCAAAGTTGGAGTGTCTTCTTTACCTATTGAGTAGAAAGCCTATGAAACGCCAAAGATTACAGCATGTCTGGACCTGAACATTTGCAAAAAGATGAGCATTTTGCTTGAAAAACTGAGCAGAGATAGTTGCAAGGAATACACAGGGTTTCAGAAAATGGCCATAATTTTTGTTTTCATTATTCAAAAAAGATAAAATATCACACAGTGCTGTTTACGTACTGCCTGCAGGGAAAGAATAACATTCTTAAAATAATCAGCATGTTCACGTTTTCAGTCTTCTTAAGATGTAGGATTCCTATACGTGTGCAAGAAAGATTTTTTTAGCACCCTTGCTGAAAATCCACTAGGGAAGAAGGCTAGTAAAGAGAACCTTCTTTTCTAATAAAGGAAGAACATACCTTCTGGCTCTAACGAAACAGTGTAAGTTTTTTTTGTGTGTCTTTAGGGTTGCCTGTATATATCTTAAGTTAATGTTAAAAAACTCATTGTTAAAAATTCAAACAAAACAATCTGCTGTTCTCTGTGCAGGAAAATACAAAGCATTCATCACCTTCACACCAATGAGCAGATAATAACCCCTCAGCACAACAGACAGTTGTTTTATACCCAAATTACAAGGCTTCTTCACCTGTGTAACAACCACTGAAAACCATGTGCTGAATTATCTGCTGATGAAAGACCGCTGACTTGAGTAAAGTCATGTTAGTGTAACAGCTGCAGCTGTGCCCAAGGACAGGGGCATCTTAAAGCAAATTGAGGTGTTTGGCTTCAATCTGCCTGCATCCTTGCAAAGGATGCAAACTGCTGGTTTGGATATGCACTCACCCCACCAGCTTGTGTATCAGCATTTGTAGAAAAAAAAAAGATGATTTCCTTGGCTTTTTGCTCTAATGTTTAAAAACAGAAAGGCAAACCTTGAGGAGGAAACTATTCCTGTTGTTTGCAGAGACGTGCAATTCAAATAATCTTTAATTGAAACCTCATATACCTATCCTTATTCTCTGATGTGAAATTTATGATAGAGAACATTTCTGTTCAAAAATCCGCAGTTCCCTTGCTGAAGAATGAAGCACCAAGGGAAATTACACAAATTCTTATTAAAAAAAATAATTTCCTTAGGTCTTGAAGATGGAGTGCAGCTAGCTGCAAACACCTCTGCCATCCAAAGCACGGCACACAGGATCTGCTGATTAAACATATGGTGGATGCAGAGGCTGAAAACATGACCTGGTCAGGTTCCTGAATCAAGAATGCCCTGGGCTGCACGCCTCCTCTGTGGGCTGAGATTGTTCAGTCTAAAGAAGAGGCTCAGGGGAGACCTTATCACTCTCTGAAGAGCCTGAAGTGGAGGTTGGCCTCTTCTCCCGTGTAACTAGAGGTCAGACAGGTGATAATGGCCTTACGTTGCACCAAGGTAGGTTTAGGTCAGATATAAGTAAGAATTTCTTCTCAGAAAGAGCAGAGAGACTGTGGCACAGCTCCCAGGAGGCGGTGCAGCCACCGACCCCAGAGGTTTCGGGAGCCGTGTGGATGCGGCACTGGGGGAAGAGGTCAGTGGGCACGGTGGGGTGGGCTGGCGGTTGGTCTAGATGACCTTAGTGGTCTTTTCCAACCTTAACGATTCTGCGAAGAAAAGATTTGGCTTTTGATGGTTTAATGACCAAAGCACTGTGTAAGATAAGCTGCATGGCTGCACTGGGTGTCTGTGGCAAGCCACAGCCGGTTCCAGCCGGTTCCAGTCAGCTCCAGTGGCCTCACCTCAGAGCACAACCATGCTGGTGACGCCTCTGAAAGAGTATATTTAAGATTAAAAAACATGGCCCAGCAGTGCACGGTCAACTGCGTGATAAGAAAGCACGAGAGAAGCAGCCCTGCAGTCCCAAGGGCAGTGTAGCAGGAAGGCAAGAGAAGCAGCTCCCTGCAGCCTGGGAGAGAACCATGGAGGAGCATGCTGCCCCCCTGCAGACAAGGGGCACCACACGGAGCGTACCTCCACGTGCAGCCATGGAGGAGCCCACGGGGCAGCAGTGCATGTAGCCGTGAGAAGGCTGCAGCCCACTGAGAGCCCCCGCAGCAGAAGGCCCTGAGCCAGAGCTGCTGTCTGTGGGAGGAGCCTGAAGTGAGGCAGGTTTATCCTGAAGGACTGCAGCCCATGGACCACACTGGAGAAGGGGAGAAGTGTGAAGAGGAAGAAGGGACAGAGTGCAGCTGTTATGGACTAACATAAAACTCCCATTCCTCATACCTCTGGTGATGCTCAGCCAGAGGTAGAGGAGTGTATGTCCACAAGGCAGCATCTTGTCCCCTAGCAGTGGGGACAAAGAGGGCTCCATCTCACTACCAACGTTGTTGGATCCCACTTTGCAAATAGCATTCAAACAAGAAAGGAAGCTAAAATTACACAAAAAGCACATATTCCTCCTGATCTGAGAGGAATATAAGGGTTTCCATTTACACAGAGGAATTTGTCTCTTGAAGGAAAACTAGAAAGATTATTCATCAAATGGTACTTGTCAGTCTATCATCAGATAATGCTTCCCACTATTAGGTGCAGCAGGTGAGTCAGTAGGATCAGCCCTCCCAGAGTCTTTTGAGTTCTTGTTTTTAAGTAAGAGCATGAACAGAGACGCCAGATGTACCCTGCATTAAGAGTTTGCAGGTGACCACATCACCCCTGTACTGTACCTCTTCCCTCCAACTCCTCTAATTCTGCTTTTTATTTCAACCAAGAGAGATTCCTTGCTTGCCTTTGAAGCACCTGGTAAGTCATTTGGGTTCACCTGTATAAATCACCCTTTATTTTTGCAGACTCGTTGTTCTATGCAAAGTAGCACAGTTGACTTTGCAGGAAAGTACTTAAAAGAGTATTAACAATCTGCTGGAGCTACAGGCCTTCAGTCTAACTTTCAGCACCTCCTCACTATGAGCCCCAAGGAATCCTACTCTAGAACTTACGAAAAAATACAGGGGAGAAGGTTTTTGAAGACTTGAAAGTACTTCAGAGTGTCCCAACTGCACCCACTCACCCCACACCATTATGCCAGTGAAGGCATGCAGGATTCATGGCTGGAAGAGGGTCTGAGCAATCTGATCTAGCTGTAGGTGACCCTGTTCATTGCAGGGAGTAGGACCAGGTAACCCTTAAAAGTACCTACCAACTTAAACGATTCTATAATTCTGTGAAGTCAAGAACAGTTACATGCTGTAGGCTGTGCATTCAGAGAAAGCCATGACCAAAATCCCACAGGTTCCCAGGTGGTTAAGCCACCCTCTATCCGTATGCACTCCTTAAATTCGTGACGTCCTCTTCACCAACTGGCCCTGCCCTGCAGTAGCTTGCTTCTTGGAAGACCCTCTTATGTGCCACAAGGAGGAACCATTCATTTTCTAGAAGCACTTACAGAACGGAACATGGTATGATCTTAGGTGATATTACAAGCTCAGTGGGAGCATGAGTGGGGGGAATTCTGTGTTTGACAAGAAGTGAACTAGGCCAAGTCGCACGGGCAAGTCTTGTTTTGAGAGGAGAGAGCGATGGGATGGGCTGCATTCTGTAGCCTCACAGCCATGGCTTTCCTGTCTTGCTCAATGGCAATCAAGTCTGCTTTTGTTGGAGGATCTGGGTGATTTCTAGAAAAATAGCTTGCCTGACAATGCAGCGGGTCCCCAAGGAATATCAAAATACAAGTGCAGCTGCTTCTGTTGCTCCCTGTCTTGTGGGCTGCTATGTGAAGCCTTTTGAAAGGCAGCAAATTTCCAGCTCTTCACAGCAGGTCAAGCATTCTCTATGCTGGCAGCAGGCATGGAGCTGCAAGCTCCTGTCACAGCTGCAGTCACACCTGAGATGACAGGAACGTGCTAGCATCATAAATTTTCACCGAAGTACAAACATTTACCCAGGGTAGTATCAAGCCCTTCAGAGACTCTTACACACTACTTGACTCCAAGTTTAATAACAACAAAGGTAGTCTAGTTATTGTAGCAACGAACCGATATCACTCGTGTTTCTAAAGCACTTTCCAGTCATAAAACTCAATGAGCTTTACAAATAACAAAAGGATGAAGGAGTTCAGCTACTCTCAAAATTCACACAGCAAGGGAACAGCAGAGACAGGCACAAAAGCATTCAGGAAAACCTGATGATGAATGAGCCTAGAATGAATTTTCTTGGCCTGCAAAATGTTGGGATGTATTGTTCCGCTGAGTTTTTCTAGGCTGCACTTCTGTGCCCCAGTTTCCACGCACAAAATGAAATTTTAAATCACTGCCATGGG